CATAGTTGTTTTGTGGCCTAAGCTTGTGGCCTGGAAACCTATGAGTAGAGATAAATTGCATACATTTTGGTCCCAAGTTGGGAATAGCCTTGAGTGCCCAACAGAAGCAACCACAAAGTTCTCCAGGAGATGTAATGAATGGCCAATAAATATGTGAAAAGATGTTCAACATCATCAGTCATCAGGAAAATGCAAATTAAAACCATGATGAGATACTACTATACCTCCATGAAAATGGCTAATATTAAAAGGCCGACAATACCAAGTATTGGTAAGAATATACAGCAAGGGGCGCCTGGTGGCTCAGTCAGTTAGGCATCTGAGTCTTGATTTCGGCTCAGGTCATGATCTCAGGGTGGTGATATCGAGCCCTGCACTCACAGCAGAGTCTGCTTGAGATTCTTTTTCACTCTCTGTCCCTCCCCCTGCTTGAGCGTGTGCATCTGCACACGCTCTCTCTCAATAAATATATAATTAGATACAATCTTAAAAATAAAGAATATGAAGCAAATGGAGCTCTCGCACACCACTAAAATGGTACCACCACTTTGGAAAACTGGTAATTTCTTAAAAAGTTAAATATACAACTGCCATACAACCCAGCCATTCCACTCTGAAAAGCAAAATACACAAATGCTCAAAGATTTGTACATGAGTGCTCATAGCAATTTTATTCACAATAGCCAAAAACTGGAAACAAACCAAAAGTCCATCAACAGTGAATAAACAAAATTACATGATATAACCATACAACAGAATACTATGTAGCAACAGAAAGCAACAAATTACTGATACATGCAACTAAATGGATAAATCTCACATGCATTATGCTATGTGAAAGAAACTAGGCCCAAGAATACACACTACATGATTTAACTTACATGAAATTCTAGGAAATGCAAATTAATCTACAACAGTTCCTGAGCGGGGCACCTGGGGGCTCAGTTGGTTAAGCAACTGCCTTTGGCTTCCAGGGAGTCCCAGGACGAGCCCCACGGCGGCGGGGGGCGGGGGGGGGTCCCTGCTCAGCAGGGAGTCTCCTTCTGCCCCTCCCCCTACTCCTTCTCTCTCTCAAAAAAATAAAACCTCAAAAAAAAAAAAAAGTTCCTGAGCCAAGGTGAAGGGAAACATGGACTGTAAAAAAGCATGCAGAAACTTTGGGGCATGACAGAACTGCTCTATACTTTGTGGCAGCTTTTTATAGGTGTATACATCTGTCAAAACACTTTTCACTTTAAATAGAGTTTATTGTACATAAATTATGCCTAAGCAAAGTTGACTTAACACTGGAAAAAAAGAAAAGAAACTGCTCTTGAGAGAACTGACCTCAATCCATGCTACATTAGACTACCATAAATGATGCTCCTTTGAATATGAGCTTACAATCCAAAACTACTACATACTTTAGGAAACAATTCATCATGGGCAAGAGTCAGTTTAAAACAAATGGCAGGATCATACCCCTAAAAACGTCAGAAAACTGAACGTGATAAAGACTACAAGTTAAGTTTATTTAAAATTATTATACGAATTGAAAACATGAGAGGATCATAGGCGGAAGGGAGGGAAAAATGAAACAAGATGATACCACAGAGGGAGATAAACCATAAGAGACTCTTAATCTCAGGAAACAAACTGAGGGTTGCTGGAGTGGAGGGGGGTGGGAGGATGGGGTGGCTGGGTGATGGACACTGGGGAGGGTATGTGCTATGGTGAGTGCTGTGAATTGTGTAAGACTGATGAATCACAGACCTGTACCCCTGAAACAAATACATTTTTTTTAAGATTTTATTTATTTGACAGAGAGAGACACAGCGAGAGAGGGAACACAAGAGGGGGGAGTGGGAGAGGGAGAAGCAGGCTTCCTGCCGAGCAGGGAGCCCGATGCGGGGCTCAATCCCGGGACCCCGGGATCATGACCTGAGCTGAAGGCAGACATTTAACGACTGAGCCACCCAGGAGCCCCACATTATATGTTAATAAAAATAAAAGAAAAAAAAATGAGACCAAAACAAGATACCATAGAAAACAAAGAGGCAGATTTAAAAATGAACTAAAGAGTACTTCTAAAACTGAAAAAGTTAGCTAATGAAGATAAGAACTCAGGGCACCTGGGTGGCTCAGTCCGTTCAGCAACCAACTCTTGATCTCAGCTCAGGTCTTGATCTCAGGGTCATGAGATCCCGCTCTCATCAGGCTCTGCACTGGGCGTGGAGCCTGCTTAAGATTCTCTGTCTCCCTCTCCCTCTCCCACCCTAAACACACACACATACACACACACACACACAAAGTAAATTAGTTCTAGCTGAAGAGTCAATTAGTATGCTAGGAGATAGATTTAAAGAAATTACTCAGAGGTAACACAGAAAGAGAAATTATGAAAGATAAGAAGAGATGTGGAGGAAAGAATAAAAAAGCCCAACACAAGTTAAAATATGGGATCTGGGAGAGGCACTATTTAAAAACGGAATGACTGCAAATTTTTCTACAAAATTTACACAAGGTATGGAATCTCAGATTGAGAAATCACTATAAGCTCCCAAGAGGATACAATTAAATCCACACCATATAATGAAACTGCAGAACACAAACAGTAAGATCTTTAAAACAACCAGGGAAAATGCAGGTTACCTACAATAAAATGATAGTTAAATTGTGAGCATAGTTCTCAAAAGTAACAACAAAAAGTCAGAATTTCAGTAAAATAACATTTTCAAAATGCTGAGAGAAAATAATTGGAAACTTAGTACCCAGCTAAACTATCAAGACTGAAGAGGAGATAAAGATGTTTCCACACAGTGTTTACCACTAACTGACTCTCACTGAAGAAAACATCTGAAAGATATATTCATCTATTTAACACAAAAGGAATAAAATGCAAGAATGGTGAAAAAACAAAAAGTAAGCATATAAGGGTAAAATGAAATTAATCACTGAAAGCACAAAACAATACTGTCAGACTACAATAACAATGATTATTACTTAGAATTGTTCAATATTAAAATGGACTGCCTTTGGGAGTGGTCTCATCGTTGGAAGTGCTCCTTTTGAGTTCGGGCAACACCTTTTGATATGTTTAGTATAACACTGGGTAAGAGGCTGAAATAAGTGACCCCCAACATACTTACTGACCATAGGGTGTTAATCAATTAGACACAGCTGTCAAAACATTCCCCATAAGCTCTGCTTAGCCACCTGTGGCAGGGCTTTCCCCCCATCCTAACAGTTCTAGAACTCAAGTACTAGTTCAAGGCATTCTTCTCACTCCCATATTCCATAAATAAAAAAAAGAACATTCTAAAGAGAAATTTTTAAATGAGCTTTCAGGTAAGGCCTTTTAGCTTTGGGGGAGTACAGCTTTGGCATAGATTAAGAATCAGGCATTACAATTAGTCACCATTTGCTTGAACTTGGGCCAAGAAAAGAGTACTCTGGAAGCTTTTACAGAGAATTATGTGCTTCTTCCTCTACAAGGAGAACCATACAGGAACAGAGAGGGAGGGAACACATATACTCATCCTTGCTGATGGACAGCTACCTTACTTGGTCTGAATGTCCCTTCTGGGTTCCCATATATTCACAGCAGTAAATAGCTCCACAAGGTAGCCCCATTTCCCTTATCCAAGGTTTCTGTCCACCACAGAGTAACACACTTTTGACATTCCAGAACTTTGGACATACAGGACCAGGCAACAGACACCAGAGAGAGGGAAACACGGATTAAAGCAAGTAAATATCACATTTTTAGAAGGCAGTGCCATTCCAGGCAAAAAGATAGAATCAGAGGTTCAAAAGCCACTAAATGAAGATGGGAAAGCCAGGCTCCTATTTCCTTTCAGTCCACGAAAGCTCATTCCTTTCAAAGCATGCATTAACAGCCATGACATGTTTCACTCATACCTGCCTAGGCATCAGGATACGGGGACAAAAGACTGTCTCTAGAAGGGCAAACATGCAGACACTCTTCCAATACCAGATGAGAAGCACTCCCCTGGGGCGTAAGCAAGAGAGGACGTCCACAGGAGGCATCATCAAGCCAGTTACGCTCTTTCCCACCCACAACCTTCACACAGTAACTTACAGTCATATATTTGTACATTCCAAGATGTTTCCATGAAACAACTTAACTGATCTGGCCCTCAGAACAACCCCAAGAAGTAGGTAAGGCAGGTAAGTTCATTGTTTACGTTTGGGAAATGAGGCTCAAAATAAATTAGGTGACTCGTCCAAGACAACGCGCACCCCCAAACAGCCCCTTACCCCCCACTCTTTATTTACGCCAACCATGCACTAGCTATGTAATCCTGACCAAGTAAACACTATAAAATACCTGTTTCCCCATCTGTAATAAAGGATAATAGGACAATTAGGAATATTTAAAAAATTATCCATGTAAAGGGTGTGGCACAATGTCTGAAACGTAGCCGGTGCTCGGAAAATGTTTACGACTAGAATTACTACTGCTATTGTTAACAATAATAGGCGGAGACTTCCCTGGGACCTCTGGGTCACAAGCATTTCAGGAACACGCACTAGCCGCCCCCCCCCCCCCCCGGTCGCAGACAGAATTCCACAGACACGCCCCCAAACAGACCCTCCCCCTAGGCACGCTGGCACCTCCTCCCACCCGGACGTGCCCCCCTCCTCACAAACCTTACCCCCGAGAGATTCTCCCCAGTCAGAGCAGGTTATGAAGGAGGCCTTCCGCTCGCACCCGCCTCTCCAGCACCCCCTTTAGGCCCCGGCATCCCTGCGGGCGCCCAAACCGAACGCCAGCCGCGGGCCCGCGCCGGTTACCTGGCCGCGCGCTCCCGCTCCGCCTCACGGTTCCACGGGATCGTATTTGTCGCGGGCTCGCGCCAGCGCGGTGAGCGCACAATTAGTTTAAACTATGGCCCCGCCCCCACGCGCCACCCTCTGATTGGCCCCGGTCGGCTGGAGTCTCACGCAAGGGCACGCTTGAGGACCCGGGAAAAGGAAGTGTGAGGACCACTGGGAAGAGAGAAGGGGTGTCACTATTTCCGGAATCCGGCCTGGACTTGAGAGCAAAGAAAACTACAAATCCCAGCACATCCCGCGGCTTTGGAGCCCCGCCCCTGGCGAACTACAACTCCCGGTAGGCATCGCGGTAGCACTCCTGGCTTGCGGGATGCGGTGGTGAAGGTAGTTACCATGGAGTTGCGCTGAGTAAGCCTGAGGTAGTGGGACGCCGAAGCTGGAGGGAAAGCAACTGCGGGTGAGTCGGGCGGGAAAACAGGAAATTCGTTCTAGGGAACCATTCGCTCTCTATGGAGAGATTAAGGAATTTCCTTTTCGGGGACCTGAGAAACCCTCCCGCACACACCCATTGCACAATGAACAAGACATAACATCCCTACGGAACAGACCGGGGTAGGGGAGGGAAGGGCGACGAGATACATAGCCGCACGGATTTGGGGGGTGCTTAAGAACATCCCCTGTCACTCCCTAATACGGATGCCTCGAATCCCTGACAGTGGGAGATCTGAAACACACTCAGAAAATGGGTTGGTTTTTCCAATGATGATGAACTGAGACCTCTTCAAGACAAGGGAGTATAATTAGAGTAAATCACCGGCCCTAATACTGGACATGTATGGAGCTTGACTTGTCTCTTCCCTGACATGCAGGAAGGTCCCAGGGTACAGCCCCGTTCTCAGAATCAGCAGCGTCACACACTCATTAGGGGTCCTGTCCCTAAATTACCTCTTCTCGCTACACCTCCCCTATGGTTGGCTTCTCCTAGCTCTGTGGTTAGACTTTGATTCCTTTTACAGTTTTCATGACAGTTTACATTTAGCAACTTACCGTGCACTTTCGCATTCACTCTCTCTTTTGAGTTTTGTGAGTCAAGGATATTTATCCCCATTTTACAGATTGGAAAACTGAAACCCAAAGAGGAGCAGTGACTTGCTCAAGGCCACACACCAAGTCAGTGACAGCTTAGGACCATACCCGTTTGTCAACTTCGAGCCAAGTCACTAACTTGAGTTTACAGCCTGTCTAGCTTAAGGACATGTTCCAAGGAGTAAACTTGGACATCCGCTAGGCTGAATCTTGGGCTTACCTGTGGCACCTGGGAATATAACCTCCCAGAATACACCAGATTATGTGACCAACTTTTCATGACATTCTTTGATTTTTCTTCCACCTGTAGTCCATAAACAAACCCTTTCTAGGCCAGGCCATTCAGTCTCCTATCAGATCTCATCTGATTATTCCTCAAAACTTCCTATGCCATCATATTGCTACTTACCTGAGAGAGGGAAGAAATAGGCTAACAACAAATCAAATCCCAATTGTTAGTAATTTCCAAAAACTGAAAACAAATTTTCATCAACTTGGATTGGTTAAAGTTAAATTAACTAAATTAATAGGATACACACAAATTCTATTCAGTACTCTGCAGTTATTAAAAAGGGTGAGTCTAGGGGCACCTGGGTGTCTCAGTCAGTTAAGCGTCTGCCTTCGGCTCAGGTCATGATCTCACGGTCCTAGAGTCAAGCCCTGCATCTGGCTCCTTGCTCAGCGGGGAGTCTGCTTCTCCCTCTCCCTCCACCCCCCCTCCACTCATGCACATGCACTCGCTCTCTCTCGGTCAAATAAATAAATAATTTAAAAAATATTTTTAGAAAAGGATGAATCTACAATATAAAAAGAAAAAATACATTGTTAGCTAACACTACAATGGCAACCATATTTCAGTATAAATGTATCCCATCAATATGTTGTACATCTAAATTTACACAATGTTATGTCAGTTATCCCAGTTATAAAGTAGAATTTAAAAAATACATTTACAAATAGTATGTGTTTTACTATATACACAATTTTGTATATATAATATACACAATTTTGTATATATCCCTTCTAAGAGGTTATATTCCCAAACGTTAATGATTGTTCTTGGTGAGATGGAGACTCAGACTTTTAGTTTCTTTTTTTTTTAAGATTTTATTTATTTATTTGACAGAGAGAGACACAGTGAAAGAGGGAACACAAGCAGGGGGAGTGGGAGAGGGAGAAGCAGGCTTCCCGCCAAGCAGGGAGCCCGATGCGGGGCTTGAACCCAGGACTCTGGGATCATGACCTGAACCGAAAGCAGACGCTTAACAACTGAGCCACCCAGGTGCCCCAGACTTTTAGTTTCTACTTGATGTACTTCTCTATGTTGTTAGACTTTATTCAGCTATCAACTTTTAAAATTAAAAAATAAAATAAAATAAAAGGTATTTCCAATTTGGAAAGGAAAAATTCCAAAACAAGACAAGTATGCCTCTAAACTTGTCATTTGTCAAGTCAGCCTGGACAGATGAGGAAGGCACTGGGATCTCACTGGTCATGAGGCAGAACAGCAGCTGGGAAAGACTGGCTCCAGAAATGCAGCCACCGAAGTGAGCAAAGCAACCTCAGGGTTTTGTCAGTTCTACCCAGCAGCCAGGTATACCATGTGACACCTTAAGACACTATTCATTTCTTCTTTAATTTGTCCATTATCCATTTGTTCATCAAGCCTTTAGTGAAGACCCAGTCTTTGCCAGGCTCAGTACAGAGTAATGGTGGGAAGAGAGAAAGAAGTCTGACTTCTGGGGGTACCTGGGTGGCTCAGTCGTTAAGCATCTGCCTTCGGCTCAGGTCATGATCCCAGGGTCCTGGGATTGAGCCCTGCGTCGGGCTCCCTGCTCCGCGGGAGGCCTGCTTCTCCCTCTCCCACTCCCCCTGCTTATGTTCCCTCTCTCGCTGTGTCTCTCTGTCAAATAAATAAATAAAATCTAAAAAAAAAAAAAAAAAAGAAGTCTGACTTCTGTCCCTGGCCTTGAGCTTACAGGGAAGGAATAGAAAGTTTATAAAGAAACGAGTACAGGAGTTCATGGCTGGCTCAGTCAGTAAAGTGTGCGACTCTCGATCTCAGGGCCATGAGTTCAAGACCCCCACTGGGCATAGATCCTACTTTAAAAAAAGTGGGGGGTTGCCTGAGTGGTTCAGTGGGTTAAGTGTCCGACTGTTGATTTCAGCTCAGGTCATGATCTTGGGGTCATGGGACTGAACCCCACATCAGGCTCCCCACTCAGTGGGGAGTTTGCTTGATATTCTCTCCCTCTACCCCCCCCACTCACGTGTGCATGCCCCCTCTCTCTCAAATAAATAAATCTTTAAAAAAAAATGAGTACAGAGAATACAGCTGCTTCAGTGTATTAATATTAGCACCTGCTGCAGGACATACAATAGCTCTCAAGATAGGTCTGTCTCCATTTTACAGATGAGGAAACAGTCTGTGATAAAATTTTGCTCAAAGTACAGTAGGGGCATGTATCAGTTAGCTATTGCTGTATAACAAACCATCCAAAACCATAGTGACTTAAAATAATAAGTATTTATTATTGCTTCCAAGTCTCTAAGTCAGCCATGTGTTTCTTCTGGTCTTGCCTGGGCTCATTCATGTGTCTGCAGGCATCTGTGACTATCCTAAACCTGACTTGGTGTAGGCTGGCTATTGGCCAGTCTAGGATGGCCTCAGCTGGGAACACTAGCTCTCTGCACCTATCTCACCTGCACATGTTTCTCCCATCCCTCCTGTAGGGTAGCCATTTTCTCTTGGCATAGGCAAAAAGCAAGAGGGCAAGCCCTCTCTTTAAGTTTTCTGTTTGCTTCATGTTTACCAATATCCCATTGGCCAAAGCAAGTCACATGGCTGAGCCCAACATCGGAGTGGAGAACTACAGAGTTATAGGGCAAAAGAGATAGATACGAGGGAGACCAGGAATAGGAATAATCAAGGGAATCAATCTACCACAGAACACATTGGCCAATTTTATCTGGAAAGATAGGCTTCATCAAAGAGAGTACACTAGGCCTGAGTATTAAAACATGAGAAATAGGGGTGCCTGGGTGGCTCAGTCATTAAGTGTCTGCCTTCGGCTCAGGTCATGATCCCAGGGTCCTGGGATTGAGCCCCTCATCAGGCTCCCTGCTCCACGGGAAGCCTGCTTCTCCCTCTCCCACTCCCCCTGCTTGTGTTCCCTCTCTCGCTGTCTCTCTGTCAAATAAATAAATAAAATCTTTAAAAAAAATAAAATAAAACCTGAGAATATTCACTAAGTAGGCAGCTGTTTCTTAGAACTGGATGCAGGCTGGTTTGCCACAATCAGTGGAAACCTAGCAGGCTTTTCTGTGCTCATGACAGACAGGGTTGCTCTATTATTTGTTATCTAGGCTTCATTCCTTCTGGTCAGGCACAGGGCAGCAGGCACTCCATAAATGTTTGCAGATTTGAATTGAGTTTCTTACTGTGAATGAGGTGTAGACTGAAATAGCTGAACCTGGGAGCCAATTGTTAGAAAGAGCAGCTTACCATCAACACTAGCAAAACAGAAAGCCTTGAATTTGGCAGTTTCTCATTCATGCCTCCCACAAATATTTCTTGAGTGCCTGTTGTAAGCCAGGTTCTGTGTCAGATGATGAATAAGACAGTGCTAGCTCACAGTCTGGGCTACTATTTAAATGGAGAAGAATAACAACTGTTTCCAATTGGCAAATTTATCTAACTACTGGGGGCTCCATTTTCAATAGTAACTCATCCAGAAAAATGCATAAGGATGATGCATTTGTGTATGATACAAAGTCAGAAGTTCTTAGGAACTGCACTGAGTTAGGTTCTCTGATGGTCAAGGAAACTAATGGTAAAATTCTGCCCTTAAATATTTTAAGCTAAAATCCATGTCCAATGCAGAACTCTGGGATCCCAACACAGGACTTTGAGAAAAGTATCCAATCTCACTCAAAGACATCAAACTTGTTGTAGGTGCTCTAGTGAAATGGGCTTCTCTGTCTGGGTGAGAACACAAGCTAGGTTCCTCTATTTCCAGAAAAGCCTATGTTCTTTGTTGTCTGTCTGTATATTTGATACCTAAAAGATGCAGGTCTCCCTAATCAACAGTCTGTGCCCACCAGGCCAGTCTTGATTTGATAGAGAATTCAACTGTGAAATGACTCAAGGTGGCACTTCCACAAAGCTCAGTTGAGACTGCTGCTTTTTGAGAGGAAGACATTCACTTTCCATTCCTCTACGTGTTAAAACACCAAAAAAGGAATTTACTCAAACTGTATTAAGCTTAAGCTGAATTATAAACTGTCAGGTCCCTGGTTTTTGTTTTTTTTTCAAGATTTATTTATTTGACAGAGAGAGAGAGATAACAGCTAGAGAGGGAACACAAGCAGGGGGAGTGGGAGAGGGAGAAGCAGGCCTCCCGCAGAGCAGGGATCCCAATGAGGAGCTCAATCCCAGGACCCTGGGATCATGACCTGAGCCGAAGGCAGATGCTCAACGACTGAGCCACTCAAGTGCCCCAAGGTCCCTGGTTTTTAAGAGAAATTCATTTTAAGAAAATGTGTGGATTTCATTTTCTGCATATAATCTAGAACTGCATATCCTAAGGTTTCCCTTTTTACTTTGGCTGCAAGGAATTTCAGAGATAACATAGGCCAGTTCCTAACTCCATGGTACATCTTTCTCTTCCTTTAATCTGCCTTCTGATCTTTCTCTTCCATGTTTCCATTTCCTACATCAGTCTGGTAGCCACTAGACACTTGTAGCTGTTGAGCACTTGACAGGTAGCTTGTCCAAATTGGGATGTATAAAATATCTCAATTATCAATAGCAATTATATGTTGAATGTTATTTTGGATATATTGGGTTAAATAAAATATGTTGAGCTTTACCTGTTTCTTTTGACTTTTCCTTTTTATGGCTACTAGAAAATTTGAAATTACATATGTGAAAAAATTACTTATGTGGCTTGCATTTATAGTGTTCACTATATTTCAGTTGGACAACTCCATTCTATAAATCATCCTGTCTTTTTTTTTAAGATTTTATTCATTTATTTGAGAGAGAGAGAATGAGAGAGAGCGAGAGCACGAGAGGGGGGAGGATCAGAGGGAGAAGCAGACTCCCCGCTGAGCAGGGAGCCCGATGTGGGACTCGATCCCAGGACTCCAGGATCATGACCTGAGCCGAAGGCAGTCGCTTAACCAACTGAGCCACCCAGGCGCCCAAATCATCCTGTTTTATGAGTGTGTTATAAACTACCTCAAATCCTTTTGGAAAGCAGGTGTAGTGAGCAAAGGAGGTGACAGCAGTGGATAAGTGAAGGGGAGGTTGACTGGGACATGTCCTTGTCAGTCTATGTGTCTTTTGTATCTGTCACATACAAAACCCCTTGGTAAAGTGTGTTTTCAGCTTTCTTCTTCCCAGGTGAGTAGTATTCTCATGGCTTTCCCCAGTCTCTTGAAAATATCTCTGCTTTACTTGAGCTAACAAATTGGAAAGGATCTGATAAGACAATTCACACCACATTGTAAATGACTGATAACTTGTGTTTACCCCTCTCAGGGGTATTTCCATTTTGACAGGGAACAATCCCTGAACCCAAAGGAATGAATCCCTAATGGTGGAGTTTCAGGCACTGGTGACAGGTGAGTGAGTGAGGTAGACTCTGGTTTCATGTGTATGTGCTTATGTATGTAGGAGTACATTCAGGATGTGGCTGAAAGTAGGGTCTTTGGATGGAAAGGAAATGGGGCTGACAGACAAGCTGAGCAGAAAAGGTAGCAAATCCCCAGCTGGGTCAGACTGGCAAAGGGCTGTCAGACACCAGATCCAATGAAGGCCCTCAGGGGTTTGTTAAGCAATAGAATAGCCCAGTTGATGTCACTGGAGTGTAGGTACCAAGAGAGCCTCCATGGTAACTACTGTGGAATAGCACAGAAGGCCTCAGAGTAGGATTCGGGAGTCTAGGATTGCAGTCCACACTGACTCATTGGCTTAACTCCGGGCAAGTGCTTTTACCCTGGGGTCTCAGTTTCTTTATGTGGAAAGTAGAAATGGGTGTTACAACTATCAACGAGCTCTAAGGGATGTAAAGGTGCTTTGAGAAGTAGGAAGTGCCCTACAAATGCAAGGAACGGTGATTACTGTCTTAAAACAGAAATGCGGCCAGGCAAGCCTGGAGTGGTGGAGGGTAGAAAGCAAGGGTGCAGGGCTCTGGGGATACCTGGGAGCCTAAACCCCTTGTACCTGGAACACCAGTCCTTCTCTATCGCCCCCAGGCTGAACCCGGACTCCCAGGGCCAATGCTTACACCTGACAAATGATGGCCTGAGCTATGAGCAAACCGGACTATATGAACACTTCGGTGCAAGAGCCCCCTCTTGACTACTCCTTCCGAAGCATCCACGTGATCCAAGGTCAGCCCACAGAGCACAGCACTCCACTCACCATGGCAACAGGCTGGGTATGGTTCCCAGGGAGAGAGCAGTCTTCTACTTAAGAGCCTGAAGAGAGTCTTCCTGTTTGCTTGCAGATTTTTTTGTTGTTTTTGAGAGGAGTAGGGGGTAAGTAGGTGGCAGGGGTGTAAGGGGTAATTGATCATCTTCAAAAGAATCCAGGCTACAACAGTAAAGTCAGGTGGAAGGAAATTGGGAAACCAGTTTATCAGCCAATGGTTTTATTCTCCTGTTTTTACCTGAAGAGGAAGACATGAATGAAAACACAGGCGCAACCCTAACTCCTCTGAGGACACAAGCCTATTCTGATCACTGGTAAAACATGCAGGGTCTCGTTATTAGGGGCATGTTTCCAGTTTAAATATTTATTGATAAATATCTTATACTCATTCCAGCCCTATCCGAGTTTATTCCATTATCACCCATAATTATTGCAGGTTCCAGCACTACCCATGCTCATTCCCATTTTATTATTCAGTGTCTTTGTAAATAGGTGGCTCATACTCTTCAGGAATGGACAGAGGAAGGCTCTTAGCAGTATCATATTCTCAGGGTAATATGCTTCTTTCCAAGGAAGTTCTGTCCCTGGCTTTTGCTATCTGGCTTCTCATAAAACACTGTACATCTGCTCTCACAGAACACATGCTTGTACCCACATATCCTAGACCCAATAACTGGCTTTGGTTTTCTCTCATAGGCAACTGGTGGCTACTTTTAAGATCAGGAAGAAGGCAAATAGTTATCCAGGGGGTACTAGGCCTGGCTTGAGTTGGGGATACTACTGGGTTTGCGCCAGCCACAGTGGCTAACTCATATTCTCTCAGGAGCATACACCCACCTACCGTGATCTTTATTGACTGTGCACAGCATCACTTCTGATTGATGTAGTCTGTGTTTCACAAGGGTTTTAGCTGTAATGATTCTGTACAAGATAACTGAGGTGACAGATGAGGGAGGTATGGCTCCTGCCTACCCTGGGAATTCCCAACTCTGAGCGGGAAAACAAAGCTTTCCACTCTCTGGAACCTTCAAAATGAGGGGAGAAACAATCTACTACAACCACAGATGACTCCACGGCACAAACCATGGTCCGTACAGATGCCCTCTCCTTCGTTCAATGGTTAAATATTTACTGAGCACCTACTATTTAGTGAGCACATGTGTATACATACATGCCAGGCATTGTGCTCCTTGCTGTGTCTTGTAAGGAGGGGAACAGAAGCACATCCAAGCCCCAAAATGCCAGTCCCCTCAGGTTCCCCAGAGTTTGTGGAAAGAGTCTGGGGGTACTGGATAGACTATTTGCTAAAGTAAACCAATAGACGGATTATAGATTCTGAAATGGCAAGGACTTTAGACCATATCCAACCCATAGTCCTCTAACTTCTGCTCATGAACCTGCAGTGTTAAGGGAGTCTACTGCAAGACACACTTACCAACCCCTTCCATTATGGGGTGAGGGATGACATGACGAAGTTATCAAACTAACTCCCACCTCTAGGGACACATGGAAAAGTTCATGTGAAAAAAAAAAAAGTTGTGTGGCAACCCTTCAGAGATATGAAGACGGGATCACGTTTTCCCAGGTCTTCCTGGGGCTAAACACTCCCCAGTTCTTTGGGCACTGATATCTGTGGTCCATATTCCAGACCTGCCTTGGTCTACTCTGAACAAGGCAGCGTCAACAGATCCTTAAGCAATGCAGTACCTTGGTGGAATCTAAAGGGAACAGAAACCTGTAGCAATGGGATACACCATTCCACTCTTGATACCGGCAGCCCGGATGGGAGCCTCAAGTTTTAGGCAACACTGTTCCACCAGTGGCTGCTTCTGAGCTGGAGATCCGCCCATGCTTAATGGCAGTCTCCAAGCTGCTGCATCATCAGGCTGGATGCTAATCTATATGTGGGTTTATTTTAACCCTAACTTTTATTCAGCTGTGTCATTTCATTGGGGGTTCTCAGGATACGTTGAGGTGGGGGGGCAGGATTAGTTTATTCAGGAGCTGGAGTACTCTGCTTCAGTGCCCTTCTGCCACCTCCCCCTGCAGCTCAGGCCCCGAGCGGGGATCCTGCTCACTCCAGCACTAAGGCGGAGAGCCACCTGGTGGATGCTGCCTGACCTGCAGCCGAGAGGAGAGGAAGTTAACCCTGGGGGTAGGTGGAAGGGAGGAAGTGTGTCCAGTAAGAGCTGAGGGGAGTGAAGACAGCTGGCCAGCTTCAGCACATCCTAAATACTTCCTTCCCCGGAGACAGCTTTAGACAAGTAATGAGAGGCTTAGGGGCAAGAGGAAAAATATAGTCCCCTCAGCCATAGCGGGTTATCTGGTTCTGGCTCTGCCACTATGAGTCTGGGCAGGGCCCATCCTCTCTACCTCATTTGTCAAAAAGTGTGTAGGGGTCTACACAGATGGTTTGGAACATCTCTGTTTTCCCTATTCTCTCTCCTCCTTGACCAAACTTTCTGAGGGTGTTGTTTACACTACCTGCTTAGATTTCCTTAACCCTCCCTTCACTCTTGAACTGAGTCCAGTCTAGCTTCTGTTCCCAGGTCCTTTTCATTTCATTGAAACAGCCTTCACCAAGGTCACCAGGGGCTGGAGTTGCCAAAATTACTTTTCAGTTCTATCGCCCTGAAGTTCACTCCTATAAACTATGCACTCCCTGAGCATCTGTAAAATTATCTTCTTGTGGTTCTCCCTCCATCCTTCCCTCATTACTCATTTTTAATAGATTCCCCTTCCTCCTTGTCCCTCCCTTCTACCCTCACTCTCCGTGTAGAATCTCCTCTACTTCTCTAACTTGTTACACCTTCTATGCTAATGATTCTTATCTGTCTCCTGAGCTTCAGACCTTTGTATCCAACTGCCTGCTTGGCTTCTCCACCTTTTTGTGTTATGGGAACCTCAGACACACACCAAGGCTAAGCCTGGACGCACCTTTCAAACCCTGGTTTGTCTTCTTCTAATTCCTTATCAGTCCCTTAGACAAGAAACTGGGTACCACCCTAGATTATTCTTTTATGCTTACATCCAGTCAACTTGAAGTCATGATGATTTTCTCTCCCTCTCATCTCTTGCTTGGATGTCTTCCAGTCGCACCCACTCCCTTTAATCCATCTCCACGCCAAAGCTTCAGAATGATCTTTCTGCAGTGTGAAAGATTTGGATCATCTCCTTTGTCTAAACCCTCCAGTGGCTTCCCATCATCTACAGAATAAAGTCCAAAATACTCTGCCTGGCATTCAAGGCTCCTTGGCTTCTTCCCCCTTGCCCCCACCTTAAGCAGTGCAGGCATACACACCATTTCACAGCTCTATGCCTCTACTTGTGTGGTGCCACTCTTGCCCTTTCCACCCTTTGCTTGGTTAAGGTCTCCTTATCCACTGAGCTCCAGCTCAGGTTTCGACTTACCTGAGTGCCCAGACTGAGCCAGGAGTCCTTCTTCATGATTCCATTGCTGTCACTGCCAGCTTGTTTTCATCCTGCCTATATGAGCTCCTCCAAGGCACAAACATCTGCTTCATCCCTGCCTTGTTACTCATCCAGCGCTTGGCACAGACCATCTGCCATTCTGTTTACCACTATACATCCGGTATCTGGCACATACACAGTTGCTCAGCAGTAATGCAAGAGAGAGGACGTCAGAGGGTGTTGTACTGAAGTGAATGCTATAGGCTCTACCAGTGGATAATTCTAGACTTTGTGCTATAATCATCTTCGTTCAAGCCTGACAATTCTAGTTCTTAGTTTCCATAAAGTGAGTGATTTTGCCTCTCCCCCGTCCCCAGACCCAATGATATGACAGACATGAGAAGACCATGTGACCCAAACCAAGAATTTGGGATGGGAAGTCTTTGACTCTTAGTCCAAGTTTACTTGGATTCCGGAGGCCTGTGGGACGGGGTCCTGTACTGACAGCAGGTAGAGTCATGCTAGACTCAAGCATGAGGCTTTGGTCCTGGCAGTCCCTCCAGCTATAGCTTAGGCTGTAAATCCTCCCAGCTCTGTCCCTTCCCAGCCCTAAAACAGAAAAGCAAAGATGATAGCCCACGTCTCACTCTGTCCCCACAGACCTGACGAGCGAGGAGCCACGGACAGGGCTACGACCAATAAGGCACTCAAAGTCAGGGAAGTCACTGACCCAGTCCCTGTGGCTGAACAACAATGTCCTCAATGACCTGAGAGACTTCAGCCATGTGGTTTCATTGCTTCTGGAGCATCCAGAGAACCTGGCCTGGATCGACCTGTCCTTCAACGACCTGACTTCCATTGACCCTGTGAGTACCCAGCCCTGAGTGTCCAGTCAGGGTGGGCCTGATACCACCTCGTCCAGCCCCCAGCCGCTCTACCTCCCACACATTATCCAGGAAGTGGTGCCGCAGCACAGCGCTGTGCAAAGTACATGGCTGTGGGCTCAGAAAGATGTAGGTTCAAATCCTAGATTTGTTTCTTACTTTGGGATTTTGGCAAGATACCCAACCTTTCAAAATCTCAGCCCTCCTGTCTGAAAAATGGGGAGCATGTGCCCCCACAAAACATAAAGGTTTTATGAGGATTTAAATGAGAATTATGAAAGCCAACTGGCATGTAGCAGGCTGCAGGAATGTAATAGTTTTTGTTACGGGCACCCACTGTGCCTTGTGCTGAGTTCTTCTGTGGAAGAGGTAGGTAAAGTACAGCACTTATTTTCCATGAACTCAGACTCAAGTTTTATAAAACACAACTGACACTTTCTTGTCCAGGATCCCTATCAGAGAGGAAAAGCAGCTACAGCATGAGTTGGAAACTATTCCCCAGGTTGTAGTGATCTCAGTTTAACTATTTTGAAAGCTTCTCTTCTGTACCTAGCATGATGCTCTCTACCCCTGTCCCCTGTTGTGAAAGATTCTTAGATCACCAAAGCTAAAAAGGTCTTCAGTGTAGAGGCAACTGAGGCTTAGGGGGAAGCAGGAGAGCCCAGTCACCTGGCAAGTCAGTGGCTGTGCTAGGCCCCAGGCCCATACCTCCCGCCCCTCAGATCACAGCTCTATGGCCATGTGATACCCCTGTACTCCTTCAGAGTTAAATGAAAAGTAGGTCGGAGTTATCCAGAATGGCTGCAGGGGGGTGGCATAGACTGGAAAGCAAGTTGTTTCCCAAACTTTTCCTTCTTTGCCCCCAAGTCAGTCCTGAGCACAGATCCAGGGCCCTGTCCATCCTGGCTTTTGGTTTCCTTCCCCAACAGGTCCTGACAACCTTCTTCAACCTCAGTGTACTCTACCTCCATGGCAACAGCATCCAGCGCCTGGGAGAGGTGAACAAGCTGGCTGTCCTCCCACGGCTCCGGAGCCTCACACTCCATGGGAACCCCATAGAGGAAGAGAAGGGGTATAGGTAAGTGCCCCGGCCCTGAAGCTGGGCTCCCCTGAGGGAAAGGAGGTGGAGAGAGAAGAAATCCAATACCATTGTTCTGCCATGCTGGAACAGAAAAGGGAGTGGAGATCTTTCCTGTCTTACTATCCATCAGGGGAAACTCTGTCTCCCCCAAATTATACTTCAGTCCCTCCATTCTTGCAGTTAGGGGAGAGAGCACCAACTGGTGGAGGGGGAAGGAGGTTCTGGTGGGGGGCTGGCCCCCAGCCCAAGTCTTCCCCACAGGCAATATGTGCTGTGCACCCTGCCCCGTATCACCACATTCGACTTCAGTGGGGTCACCAAGGCAGACCATGCCTCAGCTGAAGTGTGGAAACGCATGAACATCAAGCCCAAGAAGGTCCGGATCAAGCAGAATGCACTCTGAGGTTCCCAGGGCCCCAGCAGTCCTAAAGGCCGAGGATGGTCAGTTTGGTTTGACAATAAACGATTTGAGCAGTTGAGCAGATGTGGTGAAGTCATCTGTGCCCTGGAAAAATGTCCTCCAACTCAGGCAACTGTCAGTAGCTCCAGTCTTACTTCGCTGATAAGAGGGAGGCAGTGGAGGGAAAGGCCTGTTGGCCTGGGACGCAGGGGACCTGGTTCACTGTATGGCCTTGAGAAACTTACCTAATCTCTCTGGGCCCCTTTCTTTTACTCTTCAATTCAGATATCCTGGGGTCAGAGCTGCTTCACAGAGCGCCAAGTTTCTGTGGAAATGCCTCAGAGAAGATTTTATAGGCTGTGATCTCTGAACCCCCCACTTCAATCAGATCAGAGTGGTTCCACTGTTTTACATGCTGGTGTTCTGCTTGAGATTTCATTTGATAAAAAGAATCTTCTGCTTGAAAACAGTGGCTTGCTGGCTCCACATCAAGTATCCTTGGTCTGCCTTTACCCTCCCCCCCCAACCCTGGGCTTATTGGTAATTCCACTGAACCTGAGGCAGGGCCCCCAACAGTGACAGCTGCCTCGGATTCAGTTTGTTCAGCTTTGACAGTATTCCCACCATCGGAGAAGGGATAAGCAGTCTTATCCAATCTGAGGTTGGCCCAGGCCAAGTTCCAGCTAAGACCTGGGAACCCTGAAACCTTATCTCCTAGATTCCTCTCAGTGCCCCTGGAAGACGTGCCCCTCCCCCTCACCCATCTCGCTGCTCACAGACCAGAAGTAGTACTAGGGTGGTGGGCAGGACAGAGGGGCTGCAACCAGCACACAGATGAATACACTTCCTTTATCGAGGGCGACAAACCAAAACAAAACCCCAAAACCCCAAACATGTAAAAACCCAGGGTGCTAGAAATACAAACTCAATTCATTCAAATTCAAGCTCGTCCAGACCCTGGTCACAAACCCTAGTGAGGTGCATGTGAGCACCAAGTCAGGGAGAAGGGGACAGGAGTGAGGCCAAGAGAAAGGGTGGGAAGGGGGCCCCCATAGGCCCCCTAGGGATCACCCTCACAGTGGTACCTCCAACTTCCCAGTGACGGTGAAGACCTACTAGGCCCTAACCTTTCGCTCCCCACCTCATCCCTGGCCAGGGCTATGAACACCAGTCCCAAATGGTTCTGCCCTCCCTTGCTCCGTCCTCACTTGCTGAGGCTTCCAGCCTCACTCTTCTCCTCCTCCACACTCTTCTCTGTGATTAGTAGCAGGTTAGGGTACTGTGTGAGCCGCAGTGAGGCTGGGGGCCAGGGGAGGCAGGGTGGAGACGGGGTGAAGAGAAGAGCTGTCCAAGGATCCCTCTCTTCACGGGATCCCAAACTGTACAACCAGCTCCTCTTTTGCGTCCACTCGGATCTGAGAAAGTGCACTGTAGGCATAAGCAGCTATCCTGGAGACCTGAGACAGAGGGGCCAGGGACAAGAGGAACAGAGAGAGGCAGTGAGAAGGGAGATCCAGAAAGCCGGGGAGGGGGATTGGGTGGTGAGAGAGGAGGGGATGGTGAGGGACAGGGAGCCAAAGAGAAAGGCAGGGATGGGAAAGATGGCAAAGAACAAAGGGGAGGAAGAAAATAAAGGTGGAAAGAACAAGATACAAAGTACGAGAGGTGAGGGTGAGGGGGGTACTCGAGCTACCAGGCTCCCTAACTCCACTTCCCTACCACCTCTGAGACGGAGAGGGTGAACCCTCTGCCACAGCCTGGGCCGTGAGGAAAGGGTAGGCAGGGGCGGCTCACCTGCTGCAGGTCGGAGAAGGGGATGGGCTCGCTGGCCAGCACTTGGTGGGGCTGGCTGGTGAGAGATGGCAGCGGCGGCAGCTTCTTCCAGTGGGTCAGGCTGCTGCTCAGCACAGCCAAGCGGGTGCTGGCCAAGAGGATGGAGGGGGGTGGGCGGTCAGGCCGGTCTGCCCTGCCCTGCCCAGCCCTGCCCAGCCCAGGCATGCCTCGCTCCCTCAGGCCAGAGAAGCAGGGTGACAAGCACCTCCGCTCACCACAAACTCGCTCCAGGCCCACCTCCCTTGGCCTCCGCACCCTTGAGGGCCACGGGGCAAACAGGGCTGACATGAACATCTGCTGCGGTACCAGAGAGATTGGTTATCAGTCTCCTGGGCTGCACCCAAACAAGAAGCGTGGACTGGGGCTCAGGCTCCAAAGCTGGATAAGGGATGGAGGGGCAGGGAGGAGCCCAAGGAGCCCGACCGGGGCGGGTGTGTGTGTGTGTGTGTGTGTGTGTGTGACCGAAGCTGGCCAGGTCTCACCTGTACTGCCTTGCCCGGTCCATGTACTCATGCTGCTCCATGCCCTGGGAGTCCGCGGCAGACACATCAATGATGTTGCTTTGGGGAGAAGAGGCAGAGGGAACATGACAGGTGCTTCAAGAGGGACACACAGGATTCACTGCCAAGTGCCAACTCCGGGGCTATCTGACACCAGTGTCCCTGCCTGCCCACTGGAGCAGGGCTGGGCCCAGAGGCACCTCTAGCCACTGACCTTGTCCCATCCCCCATGTCCTGGGCCCAGTCCCTCTATCCCATCCTTTAACATCGATGGAGAAGCTCTGCCCGGGCTTGGTCCTTTAGTGCTCACCTGGCTGTCTTAGCAAGGATGGAGGAGAGCAGGGCCTGCTCATCTGTGCGAGTGGGAGGCAGGCTGTGGTAGTTGGGCTCAGCTCCATTGAGGGCTTTGGTAGGGGGGCTGCTAGGGTCCAGCAGCAGCTTCCGTTCCTCTCGGTCCTAGGAGAGGCCATAGGGGAGAAGTCAGCCCTGGAGCCTTTAGCTGCCTTTCCTGGGCTCTTCTCTCAGCCCAGCTCTGACCTTTAAGCACCAAAAAATACCCTAAGTGCCTAAGTGTGTGGAATGTCAGCTAAGGCTCAGTCCTGCCTGCCCTGGGAGCTCAGCTGAGTTGGTGGTCTGGGATGAATCAAAGTGGAACCAAGCAGTCCTAGAGGCCCTGAAAGGATGGACAGAGGCACAAAGCATGTATTCAGTAACAGCTCTAGAGCTTCAGAAAACAGTCTAGCACCTGATGCAGGTCAGGAGCCTAAGAATGGCACTCCTGATCCCCCAACAATTCTATTCCTTGTATAATATCAGGGCAGGAGTCCCAGCCTCTGGGTCACACAGTCCCAGTGTGCCCCCTTCTTGAGGGCAGGTCCCTTCTACTCTCGAGTGTTCACTCTCCTCTGATGCTCTCTTTGTATACAACTCCCAGAACCAAACTTGATGCACCTGGTGAAACCTGACCTGACATGGAGCTGCTCCCTCCCTTGCCATGCCACCACACCTCTAGTGGTGTGGTTTTGCTAATTTTCAGTAGTCCTGTTACTGCTAGCCAACACTGATAATTACAACTCCCAGAACTAACCTGGGGCCAGACCAAGTCTCCCTGGTTCCTCACATTTCTGTGTGGTTTTCTCCTCGTTCTAATCTACTGCAATCTCTGGATACGACCCTGCCTTGAGCCCATCCGCTGCAAATCCCTGCTGGCTTTGTGTCAGCTACAAATTGGATAAGCCGACCTACTGGGTATCTATCCAAGCCGTAAAGAGCAAGGGTGCCCAGGACAAAGCCAAGGACAAGGGGCCCATCCTGCCTAATGCTGACTCACAAACCCTCAGTGCCAGACCACCAGTGCTCCACTCCAGGCCACTTTCAGTTCCTACCACAGACCTTCCCACTGCAGACTCCCAGCTCCCCTGGCCACAACTCCACAACGCTCCTTACAGAGGGCCACTTCCTCCTGCCCGCCTGCCCCACCCTAGGGCAGGCCCTTTTCACAATACTCTTCCTTCCCAACCCTGGGTTGCCCAAGTGTCCCCAGTTCCCAAAAGCATGAGACAGAAGCTGTGGGATTCTACCCTATCACCTCCCAACTCCTCGACACAACCCCTCCTCCTTAAAACAGAGGCTAAGTATTAAAGGGCTAGAAAGACAAAATACTTGCCAAAGATCAAACTATCTCAAAGGAAAGCTGGCTTCAAAATGAACCCTGAGTTTGCTTCCTGTGTGTCATCCTTCCCCCAATCCTACTTGAGACAGATCTTCCTGCAGGACTGGGTAGTTTCCCCCACATCAGGGGTTCTTCAAGAACAACGTTGTTTTCCTGAGACCTAGACTCCCAGAAGAGGCCAGGCTACCCCCATCAGAGTGGACAAATAACATCACCCCACCCCCAAAAGGCCAAGTGCAGCATGGAGGAGGTTCTTCACACCAAGGTCTGTCCCTGAGTCAGTGTCAAGCCAAGAGTCAGGATTCCACTGTTTACCCTAGCACAGACACATATATGTGGCCTGCCCATGATTACCCACCTGGTCTATGGGCAGCTTGGCCCAATGGATAAAGCACATGGCTTGGTATCAAGACACCATGGCTATGGCACTACTCAGCTCTGCATCCTTGGTTAAATCACTTCGTCTCTCTAACCTTTTTCTTGCCTTTATTTTTTTTAAGATTTTATTTATTTGACAGAGAGAGACACAGAGAGAGAGGGAACACAAGCAGGGGGAGTGGGAGGGAGAAGCAGGCTTCCTGAGGAGCAGGGAGCCCGATGCGGGGCTCGATCCCAGGACCCTGGGATCATGATCTGAGCCGAAGGCAGACGCTTAACGACTGAGCCACCCAGGCGCCCCTTTTTCTTGCCTTTAAATACATAACCTGTACCTATATGACAAACGCTTGGCAAAAACCAAATGAAAGAACTAGAAAGGCCTTTGAAAAATGCATCATACATTTTTTTATTAAAATAAAGGAGCAGAGATGAGAATGGGAAAGCGGCCTGTCCAACAGCTAGCTGAGAGAGGGACTCTGAGATAGTGAAGGGTATGGCATAGACTTTTGCCACACGAAGCCTTAAATCACCCAGCACTGATCGAGCACCGTTCTGGGGGTTAAATACAGAAGTGAGAGCCGGTCAAGAAGGTGAAAGTCAGGAGAACAGCAAGCCCAGTTCTCCCAACTAGAAGCTGATATCCTTTCTTAGAAGACACTAACCCTTCTTGATTCATTCCTTGCAAGAGTCTGTATTACTCTTTCGGGGACAATCTCCCACTATGCCACAGTTTTCCCAGTAAGCAGGCATACTGTGTCCTCTACGAGGCTGGGATGAAGTGAGGGGTAGTGGGCATGAGGCATGCCTAACATAAGGCATAGGAAATAAGAGTATGATGTGTTCACTGAGTAGGAAATTAATGAGGCCCAGGAGCCACTCCTGCCTCTCATACAAATGACATTTTCCTAACCTTAAGTCCTTAACCTAAAATAGGTTCCTGTGAGTCACTGGGGAAAGACCTACTTCCCGAATACCAGTAACAAAATCCATTTCTGTTACCATCTTCCCCACCAGACTGTGAGCTACTTGCTGAAATCTTTCTATCGTGTCCGTATCTAGAATGTGTTGAAATGTAGAATCCAGGCTTACAGACAATAAAAAAGGTGAGGGGCCAAGAGCTTGAGACTTCATCCTCAGGAAGGTCTCCCCACTCCCTAAAAGATCAAGCAGGTAGGGCAGGCTTTAAGGTGTGGGGAGAAGTGAGAATGCACCAAGAGGAAGAGGGAGAATTTAAAACCGCACAGGGTTTCTCAGCCTAATCCCCTGTGCAAAGGGATCAGATCTACAGTCAAATTCCCAGGACAGGCACCCTCTCTAGCTGAAGGAACCTTCAGGCCCCAAGCAAAAACTGCACTGAGGCAGGCCAAACGGAGCTCCCCAACCCGTCTCTCTAATCCAATCCAGCCAGGGCGGAAACCCACTTTGTAGCTTCCCAAACAACTTCCCACATGTCTCGATGTCCTCATTGTCTCTATTAAATTCTTCACTGGTCAACTCAAATGCCACCTACTTCCAGAGGCCTTCTCTGACCCCAAACCAGCAGTGACCTTCCTTCTCCAACCCCAGGGACTGAGAGCATACACAAATTCCTGATTCATGTCAGGACAAACGAACTCTGAGCCTCAGCTTACCCGTCTCTAGAATGGATTCACAAAGCCCGCTCATACAAGCACAGAAAAAACACAGGAAGCTGGGAAGACAGTTTCCCAGAGACCTAGGCTGAGGATCCTGAAAGCTATAAAGGTTTAAGGGTGGCATAAGATGAAAGGGGTGGGAGCAAGCGGAACAAGCGGCTGCCCCTACACCCCAATGCGGAGACTGTAGAGAAAGCTGGGGCTTTAACAGGGATAGGAGCCTGGCCGGGCGTCCCCTCTGTAATCTGTCCCCTCCCGGCCTCCGTACTATACAAGCCCCGCAGTCCCGCTCCTGCTCTTCTGCAGGTTTTCTTCTGGGCCCCACGCCCCAGCCTCTCAACCCTCATTCCCGAGCCTCGCCCGCCGCGGCCGCACCTGGTCCGAGTCCTCGTTCTCGCTGCTGTAGCAGCACCCCATGGCCGGGGTCGGGCCGGGCACTCAGGCCGCGCCGAGGAGGGACGGCGTCCGTCGGGAGCCCTTCCGGTCACATGACCCGTGGCAGCAACCAGCAAGCAGCCACCGCCTCCCCGCCTATTCCTTCCCAGAGCCGCGCAGCGGCCGCCGCAACCCCGACTTCCGGCCCCGCCTCCACCGCGTGATCATCGCCAACCAATGGGAAGGGTCACCTCGCTTGACAAACCGCGAGACACGTGATGCGATGAAAAGGCGGGGCAGATCACATGACTTAAGCCTCTGCCCAGTCTTGGAGTGTGAGTCTTCTTTCACTGGCTCCAGAGGTCCTCGTAGTTTGTGGTCGCGTGGTTGCCAGGCTACCTTTCTGGGCCAGTGAGTGAACTTATCCCAAATGCCATCATGATTTGCTCTCCTAAATGCCATGCGAGGGGCGAGTGGGATTGAGGCCCTACACTCCTAGAGCACACAAGTCACTGTGTACAAGCGTTGGACCCAGGTGCCCAGCCCCCAGTCGGGGGACACACAGAGTGTGGCGCCCAACGGAGTTCTCAGCCTGGACTGGGGTTCGGAGACTTACTGGAAGAAAAGCCCTTATTCATACACAAAGCAAAGCGGAGCGGAGCTCAAAACTGGAAGAGATACAGGCTACCTCACAGGCTTTGCCTTCAGGCATTTCTCTTCAATCTTGCTGGCCTTTTTACAGCAACCCTAGTAATCTAACACACAATGCTCTTTTCTTAGAACCACCCCATATCTTCCCTTGGATGCTGAACACAGGTCCAGGTCTGTCATTCAAGATCTTGCAGAGCCTCTCACCTGCCTCCCATTCCAGCATTTGGGTCGTGGGGGCTGGTAGTGATGGTGGTGGCGGTGCAGGGATTGTAGTGATGCCTCACCAACCGTAAGAAAATATTTGCAGTTTCCCGACTGACCTCCTGGACTTTCCTCATGTGGCCTGGCACACTGTCTCCCCACCAGGTCTGTCTTCTGCCTTCCAGCCTCACTACAAACACTATTCTCCTGATTGCCATCTTCAATCCCAGTGTTTGGGCATGTCCAGTTCCCTGTGCTTAATCCCTATCCCGTGTTGATTCCTTCATTTATCGAATCAAAAATTACTGAGTGTCTGATGTGCCATACACTGTTCTGTCTAGATACATAGCAGTTCACAAAACAGCCCAAAGTCCCTGTATCCATGGAGCACTGCATTATGTTTTATTCTCCATTTTTCGATCAGTCTCTTCCTCCAAACTTGGAAGTTCCTGGAGGAAGGGGACAAGATCTGACTCCCCTCTGCGACCCACAACCCTGGCATTTACTTAGACAAAATGTCAGTTGAATTCTGAATTGAGTAAATTACAGCCTCCCATCACCTTGGCTCACACCACGTCCCATGTCCTGATACAAGGAGTTAGAGGAGAAGTCACCAAACCCAGTAGCTCTTATTACCCCTCAGATCAAGACCCTGGAGTTCTGTACATTTTTTCAGCACTCGAGAAGGGTAAGAATTAGCCCCACCTTGTTGCTGCAGCTAGTAACTTGAACTGCAGGTCTCAGGTGACAGCAGCAGCTTCTGCATCAATAATTGAGAGCAGGTCCAGCCTGCCTCAGGGTTCTCTGGTCCCAAGGACTCCCCCTCCTGTCCTATGCTCTGATCTTCCCCAAGCAGGAGCCTCCAGCCCAGGTAAGCAGGGCTCTTGAGTGTGGGTTCCCAAGCACACCAGTTCAAACTCACTATCACTCACCTACTCACATCCATTTATATACTCTTACTTTCAATTTTAATCCCCATCACCAGGGGCCTCACAAAAGGGGCACAACTGGAGGAAAGGGAGGATGGTCCAGGGCACTCGAGAGGAGAAGGCACTTATCCCCGAGAGGGGGCCTGGAAGAAGAGGCTCGAGTGGGGGGACTGTGTGCTGTGTCTGTACATGCTTGTAAAAGGAATTCTGAGAACAGAAAAGGCGAATGCAGGGGAGGGGAGACAGGTCTGGAGAGGAGACAGAGAATCAAGGATTCCTCCCACACTCAGGGAAGACCAGATGGAGGGATGGGAAGAAATCTCATCCTAACACCCTCTGGAGTGTTTTGATTGCCTTTTACTGAGGCAGCACACAGGGTCTGAAGGGGTTTCTGACTACAAAGCTGTGCTCTTTTGCTCCACACTAACGGGTCAGGGAAGAGAAGGCAGAGGGTAGGGAGGGTGGAGGATATCTCAGAGGAGGTCTGCAGAAAGCAGTCCAGAAGGGGTGACTACAGAGATGAGGAGAAACAGGTGGAAGAAGCCAGGTGAAGATAGGACCAAGGGGCAGAAGTGGGAAGAGTTGGTTTGGGGGTGGGTGCACAACACAGACTAGGACGAAGTCCTTAAAAGTACATGGGCTTGAAATCGGACCAATTCAGATTCAAATCCCAGTTCTGCTGTGTGACTCTGGACAAAAGACAGCCTTCCTGAGCTATGGTTTGTAAAATATAGGAAATACAAATGACAAGCAATGGTGGGTGTGGGTTTCCCTCCCTGCCTCCCTTCACCCCAGAGCCCTGGTAGGGACCATGTCCCCCGCCATCGCACTGGCCTTCCTGCCCCTGGTGGTGACACTGCTGGTGCGATACCGGCACTACTTCCGACTGCTGGTGCGTATGGTCTTGCTGCGGAGCCTCCGAGACTGCCTTTCAGGGCTGCGGACTGAGGAGCGGGCCTTCAGCTATGTGCTCACCCATGCCCTGCCTGGGGACCCCAGTCACATCCTCACCACCCTGGACCACTGGAGCAGGCACTGCGAGTACCTGGGCCACATGGGGCCTGTCAAAGGTCAGTGTTCCTTAGCCTTCTGCTCCAGGAAGCACCCCCAAGATGGTAAGGAAGGTCTGGGATCTGCCGCTGCCTACTGGGTGCATTGGGCAGGTTCCTGATCCTATCTGGGTCTTTCTCTCCTCTGCAAATGAGGGGGCTAGGCAAAGTTACTCATCTAGCAAACACTTATTGCCACCCTTCTGTGCTAGGCCTATACTAGGTGCTGGGTGGGAAAAGGAGGCAGAGGCCACACAGATGAATCAGCCACAAATGGCCTCAAAGGGGACATAATACAAAGGGGACAACCATCTCAGCACATAACCCGTAACTTTCTAATTACCTGTGCTAAGTATTTCTCCCCCACACCGTGGAGGCTCCCACATCCCATTCAGCTGCCTGGCTTTGTCTGAGTCCCGGCTCCTGGCACAAGTGCTTTTAGAGTCTGAAGAAATTTTTTAAATTCCAAGATTAGAAAGATATTCAATGAATAAAACAAGGGGGAATGAAACTGGAAGTTCTAGCAAAGGTCTCTCAGAAGCCTGGTGGTTGTTTCTGCTTGAGCCCTCCTCAAGAGAAAGCAACACTTACACAGAGCCTAGAAGAACTGCTTCCAGCTTGACCAAGCAGATAAAGACAGGGGTGGGGAGGGGCAAAGCCAGTCACATATGCTAATGCAGCATGATGGAATGAGCCAGCATTGACTTGGTTGACCCTGGGCACAGTGGTTGGGAGGGCTGTGATACAGGCTACAGATGGGAAGAACTGGAAAGTTTGGATAGGATCGGGTCCAAGAAGGTCCCGAATGTCAGGCTGAGGATCTCAAGTTCAATCTCAAAGGCCTTGATCATAGGAACCAAGGAACAACAGCATCAGATTTGTTTGTTGGAAAGATGCCCACTGGCTGGTATGAAGAGGAGCATGAAGGAGGCAAGCCTGGAGGGGCAGGGGGACCAGTGTGGGCAGCTGGAACTGTAGTCTGAGAAGACCCCAGCCGGTTGGGGGTTGCAGTGAGGCAGGTGGGCATTTGAGATCCCTTTCTTTTTTTTTTTTTTTAATGAATTTTTTTTTTTAGAGATTTTATTTATTTAATTGACAGAGAGAGAGGGAACACAAGCAGGGGGAGTGGGAGAGGGAGAAGCAGGCTCCCCGCCGAGCAGGGAGCCCGATGCGGGGCTCGATCCCAGGACCCTGGGATCATGACCTGAGCCGAAGGCAGTCACTTAACCAACTGAGCCACCCAGGCGCCCGTTGAGATCCCTTTCTATCAGGGGCCCTGCATCTGTCTCCCATGTCTGCTGCAACAGCCATCTTCCCCCCAGGTCAGATCCTGACGCGGCTGGTGGAGGAGAAGGCCCCTGCTTGTGTGCTAGAGCTGGGCACCCACTGCGGGTACTCCACATTGCTTATTGCCTGTGCCCTGCCCCCCGGGGGCCACCTTCTCACCGTGGAGTGGGACCCACGCATGGCAGCAGTGGCTGAAAAACTCATCCACCTGGCTGGCTTCGACGAGCGCACGGTCAGCCCCCACCTCCCCAACCCTTGTCTTTTCCCTTCCACCCCCAGCCTTGCCCTAGCCAGGCCTCCCCAGTGAGGGAATCCCACCTAGGAGAAGGCAGCAGCTCCACATAGGGGACTGTGACCCTCGGTGATGTATGAACTCCTGCCCTTCTGTTCCAAGTCATTTGCTCATATTTGCTGCTGGATGACAAAGGAGCAGTTAAGAGGAAGGTCTCTGGAGCCCAGCAAATCTGGGTCCAAACCTTGTCTACGTCTTGTAAGCTTTATGACCTTGGGCAAAGCACTTATTCTCTGAATCTCAGCTTCATCACTGGCAGAATGGAAATCACAATACTGATGCTGATCTCTTGGGTTTTTCTGAGGACAGAGGAAATGTGAGAACACTCATGGGGACCTAGGCCAGGACCTGGCATAAAGTAAGCCAGATCCTGTGGGAGTCTAGTGTGGGAGAACAGTCCCTCCCACCCTCACCTCCAGCTCCTCCCACTCCCACAGGTGGAGCTCGTCGTGAGTAGCTCAGAGGAGGTGATCCCACGCCTACGAACCCAGTACCAGCTGAGTCGGGCAGACATGGTGCTCCTGGCACACCGGCCCCGATGTTACCTGCGAGACCTGCAGCTGCTGGAGGCCCATGCCCTGCTGCCAGCTGGTGCCACTGTGTTGGCTGACCACGTGCTCTTCCCTGGTGCACCTCGCTTCCTGCAGTATGCCAAGAACTGTGGCCGCTACCGCTGCCGCCTCCACCACACTGGCCTCCCAGACTTCCCTGCCATCAAGGACGGCATAGCCCAGCTCACCTATGCAGGGCCTGGCTGAGGTCCAGGCCCAGGGATACTTACTGCTACCCCTCCATCCCCACCCAAGCAAGGACCTCAGAACATCCTCTCCCCCCACTGCCTGTGGCCTGACACATGCTGAGCTCGGGGGGGGGGCAGGGGGGGAAGGCTGTCCTCCCACCTTTGCCCTACTCCTGTTCCACACTGATTCAGGCATCAAGTTCTGTCAGATTGCTTGGTCCCACTGGCCCCTCTCCTTCCAGAAAGAGTCATGGATTAACAGGCAAGAGTCCTGAGCTCCCAACCCAACTCTATCACTGATTTTCTGGGTGACTCCAAAGGAGTCCCTGTGCTGCTCTGAGATTTAATCTGCTTTCTTAACACCAAGGAAGCTGGCTGGAAGAGCTCCAGGGGCGTCCCAGCTCTGGGCCTCAGAAAGCCTGCCCTCCCCAGCCCATGCAGTTCCAGGTGGGATCAGAGGAAACAGGGAGGCTCTGAAGGAATATATGAGTGTAAGCTGGGCCAGAGATGGAGCCTGGGCCCAGAGCCAGGGACACCCTGACCTTCCTTAGCCCTGGACCGCATGGTCAGGTAGGCTTGCCCTAAGTCCCCTGTGTGCCCTCTCGCTAAAGCTCAAGAGAAGATGCTGGATTCCTCTGGGCCCCACCAACAAATAGGGAATAGACACGGGGGGGAAAAAATCAGTCCTGTGTCTTTATTAAAGAGAGTTAGAAAGAGACTATACCTGGCAACCAAAGGGCGAAGTACTAGGCAGAAAGGTGGGTTGGGCTCAGGCCCTGGGGACTCAAGGGCAAACTGATGGCCTGGGAGGGGCCAAGGAGACCAGTTCCTGGCAGCAGCTGAAGAAATACCCAAGGGTGAGCTTTCAGGCACTGGGGCAAACAGCTGGTTCTGCAGGGAATGCAGGATAAGTTCGGCTGGCCTGGAATTTCCCTGAGGCCACCCTGCCTTGTCTACCTAGATCATCCACTGGTCCTGATCTTGTTCGTTGCCTTCCATGTCCACCTGGAGAGAAGGCTGGGTGTGGGTGGGATGGGGCCTCAGCCACCCAGCCAGCCCCAGTCCCAGATCCTGCCCGTCTGGAACCAGAGTCTCTGTAACCCTTGGCCACCAGTTGGGTCAGGGGTAGGGGCCCTCCCCCACACCCCTGCCTACCTCATTGACCTCTCCGTCATCAGGTGACTCATTGTAGTCATTCATCTCATCCATGTCCTGCATGTCCTCATCATCCTCTGAGTCCTCTTCACTATCTTCATCATCATCTTCATCCTCCTCTTCCTCATCATCATAGTGCTGGTGAGGCAGGGGAGAGCCTATAGGCTCTATAGGGCTGCCTGGACCAGTTCAAGGGCTGGTCCACTTGGAGCCAGTCTCTGGGAACAATGAATGACCCTCCATTCCCCAACCTTGCCCCACCCCTTTGAGTCTAGGAAGCTGATGCATGTTCTGCAGGACCTTAGTGCTGGGTCCAATGGCCACCCACTCTACACCCCCTTTACAGCCTCCACCCAGAGCTGAGGAACACAACTGCTCTGGGATCAGAGGCAGGACTTTCAGAAGCAGAGCAGAGCCTTGGTCCACCTGGGCTCCACACAAGCCCTACCTGCTGGAACCACTCACCTCCGAGGCCGGCTTGCCAATAGGTACCAGGTTGTTGTCTTTCTCTGCGATGCTCTGGAGCTATGGCCAAAGTGGGAGGAGAGCATGGTCAGGGTGCAAGCAGGACAGGTCAGGGACATGGGACTGGCCCATTCTGCCCCTAAGATGACCCCTTAAATGTGGAGAAGCTTCCTTCCAGTTTCCAGAAAGAGACAATCCCTTTATCTCTTGTCATCTGCCACTTACTTATAAACTTGATCCAACTACATAAACTCTCTGGGCCATGGTTTCCTCATAAGATTATCGTGAGGGTGGGGCGCCTGGGTGGCTCAGTTGGTTAAGCGACTGCCTTTGGCTCAGGTCATGATCCTGGAGTCCCGGGATCGAGTCCCGCATCGGGCTCCCTGCTCAGTGGGGAGTCTGCTTCTCCCTCTGACCCTCTTCCCTCTCGTGCTATCTCTCAAATAAATAAATAAAATCTTTAAAAAAAAAAAAAGATTATTGTGAGGGTGAAGTGAGAGACTACCAGTCTAGAATATCATATCTACTAGGTCCTCAATAAAGTCAAAACTATTTCCTATGCTTTAGGGAAAAGAGCCTAGGCTCCAGTCTGGCCCAGAAGTCCCATGGGCCCACAGTAAATCAGGGTCATACAAAGATGTGAACCTAGGCCTCCTGCCTCCCAGCTTGATTGTTCCCAACCCAGGGCAGAAAGCTCCTCCCTGACTGAGGCTCCACCACTATACCAGGTCCTTACTCACCCAGGCCTGATGCTGTTGTTCTTGCTGCTGCAGCTCTGTCTCCTCCACACAGGGTCGATCCAGATTAAACCACAGTGTCTCAGTCACACGGGGGAAGAGTGAGGGAAACAAAGTGGACATGGCTCCTAGACTGAGGTAAAGGGCCAGGTGAATCCAGCCGTCAGATGTCTTTGGTTTGGGGTTTTATTTGGTTACAGTTTAATTTGGGGATGGGGTGGAGTAGAAGGTAGCAGGGAAATCGCTCTTCTCTGTGGGAATCAGACAGACCTGGGTTTGAGTCCTGGCTCCACCACTTACTAGCTGTTTGACCTTGGCCAAGTCACTTAACCTCTCTGAGCCTCAGTTTCCTCATCTGTAAAATGGGGAATAATAACAATTATACTACGCCCTCATAGTTATTCTGATAATTAATTTACTTTATGGAGAAGTAAAGTGGTTTAAACTGTTCAAGGCAGGGAAGAGAATGGAAGCCAAATGTAAAGTTATGAATCCAGAATGCAGACTGGCATTACAAAATTAGACAAAATTAGAGGTAGCAGGGCTCCACTGACACTATCTTTACCTCCTCCAAATAGTAAGACCTACTTTTTGCCCCTCTATGATGATCCGTACCATACTTACCCAGTGTCAGAAATTTAGGACACTAATCACCTCTCTCATGAACCACAGCTGACTGGGGTGGGGGTGGGGTACCACGTGCAGTATGGTTCAGAAAGACATTCTACAGGCCTGAATAAATGGATAAGTAAGTAAATGGAAGGCTGAATGAACTATCACGTGAGAGAATAAGTAAATTCGGCACGGATTAAGCAGCTGAGGGGGCTGACCTGAATTATAACCTTTCACCTCACAGGAAAATTTGAGGCCCTGGGACAGGCAACGACTGGCTCTAGATCACAAGTGAGTTGGGGCATCGAATTCCACCGGGAAGAAGTCGAGGCCAGGCACTGGAGGAGATGAGCAGGAGAAAAGGACCTACGTCTAGTTCTGCTTTTGCCCTAAACTGATTTGACCGATCTTGGGCCAGCCGCTGCCCTTCCGTGAACCTCGGCTTCCCGGCCAATGTCACCAGCACACCAGCACCCATCCTCAAATCCCGTTAAGTAGGAGAGGCCAGAGACAGGTTCCGAAAGCCCACCCCTCGCCTCAAAGCCACCGCCCATTCTTTGCTTATTATGATAATGACCGCGGGGTGGACCAACACGAAGAATGCAGGGGCGGGATTCGAATAGGCATTTGCCCTTATAGGGTTGCTAATCGCGAAAGGAGCGGGCCTGAATAGGGCCAATTAACTGGAAGAAATGCTGGGTGACAGAAAGGAACACCAATGAGTGACGGATCTTGGGTGACGGGGTGGGGCTTAGCCTCGAGGAAGCGGCCAATGAGCTGGAGCTCTTTAATGTTAAAAGGCGTCTGAACGTGGAGGTACTGAGGAGCCGGGGCAGGGCCACGGGGTTTCTCTGGGGGAGGGAGAAGAGAAGGGGCAGGGAGAGAGCGGCCGCAGCCTGGCTTCTGTACTTACCGCGCCGGGAGGCGGCAGCCGGCGGCAACCCGGAAGCACTTCTCTCGGGCTGAGCGGAAGAGCCCGCCAGAACCTGAGAAGCACCAACGCATGCGCCTTTGCTCTCCTTTTGTTTCCCGCTCCCGCCCACCACACCGGATGTGACGTTACACACCTTAGCCACATCGTTAAGGTTGGAAATTTGCCTACTCTATTGGTCCCTTCTTGAGCTTCCGCTCTTCGGCTTCTCCAGCCTGGCCCCTCCCCAACGGCCCATTTAACCCCTCCCCTTCGTCCCCAGCCAGGATCTGCCTGCCAACCCCTGCTGAAAAATAGCTGGCAGCAACCCCTTTTAGTACTAGGACTGCTTGTCCTGCCGGGTCCCAGGAAAATTCGTCTGCTTCTACATTAAAGAGTAAAATTTGCCTCTTGGAAATGTCCACCGTTTTCATTCGTTCATTCAACAAATACCTACTGAGTGCCTTACTATATGCCTGTTACTAGTCTAAGTAGTGGTTATACAATAGTGAACAAAACAGACCGCCCAAAAATCTCCATGCAGCTTCCATTCTAATGGGAGAGATAAACCACAAAGAAGATAGATAAGGGGCGCCTGGGTGGCTCAGTTGGTTAAGCGGCTGCCTTCGGCTCAGGTCATGATCCCAGGCTCCTGGGATCGAGCCCCGCGTCAGGCTCCCTGCTCAGCGGGGAGCCTGCTTCTCCCTCTCCCTCTGCCTGCCTCTCTGCCTACTTGTGCTCTCTCTCTCTCTCTCTGTCAAATAAAAAAAAAAAATCAAAAAAAAAAAAAAAAGAAGATAAAATATATAGTTTTAAGCCTGCAGTAAATACCTAGGAGAAAAAATAAATCAGAGAAACGGGGAGGGGAGAGGTTTTATTTTAGGTGGGGGGGGGCGGGCAAGGAAGACCTTACTAGGAAGATGACTTGAGTAAAGGTCTGAAGAAAAAGAGTGGGGGGGCCCCACTGTTCTGATATTTAGGAAAGAGCATTTCAGAGAGGGAGCAAGTGCAAAGGGTCTAGAATGGCTGGAGCATCGAGTACTATGGTGAGAGCCGGAGAGGCGGACAGAGAGATAGCAGGAGCCAGACAATACAACCTTGCAAGTCACAATAATGACTTTAGCTTTTACTCCATGTTGAGAATCCTGTGAAGGGTTTTGAGCAGAGGATCCACACAATCTGATTTACATTTTAACAGAGTTACTCTGGCTATTCTACGAGGAATAGATTCAGGAGGGAGAGTGGCAGAAGCAGGGAGACCAATTGGGAGCCTATTACAATAATCCAGAGGTGGGGGACGAGAAGTGGATGAATTTTGAATATATTTAGAGGGTAGGGACAAGAGAGCGTGCTGACAGATTCGATGTGGAGTATCAGAGGAAGAAAGGAGCCAATTTTTAGACTGAACAACTGGAAGACCAGTGTTGCCATTTCTTGAGATGGGAAAGACAAGGGAGATGTTGTTTTGTGGGGGGAACTATCTGGAGCTCATTTTTGGACGTATGGAGTTTGAAATGCTCATTGGAGTACAGATGGTAAGAGGGCAGGAGGAGGGGGGAGCAGGAGGTCTGAGGTCAGGGGAGAGATCTAGACTAGAGATACCAATTTGGGAGTTATCAGTACATAGATGGCATTTAAAGCCATGAGACTAGTTGAGGTCATCAAAGAAGTGAGTGTAGGTGGAAAATAGTTTCCTGCAACATTCAGCACTTAAGGAAAGTAGGAGAAGCAGCAAACCAGACTGAGGAAGGCCGAAAATATCAGTAGAAAAGCAGGCAAGCTGGGTGATATCCTGTAAGCCGAGTAAAGAAGGGGTATCCCGAAGGAGGCAGTGCTCTACTACAGCCTCGTTCTGTACAAATTGTTTCTGTTGTTTCTATTTGTTTCCCCAGTCCACCAGGATTTCTTGAGCACACAGACTTGAGTGGTTTCTATGTCGCCAGGACTCAGCCTGATTTCTCCCTTCTCCTGGATCCCTTATCTGTTCTTCTTGTGGCCCATGTACCCATGAGTCTCTTGTCCTGCTTCTTTTCCTTATAGACTTCCTACCTCCAACACCCTTTGCCTCCCATGCTTCTGACCTAATGGAGATTCCCCTGTAAGCTAGAGTTTCTTACCAAGGTCTGCAGCCAGGTTCAACAAGCCATGATGACTGGTTAGCTGGGGGGAGGGGAAAAGGGAATGGGAGAAGTGGAAATTTTGTGTGATTCCCTATTTTTGGCTTGGGCAACTCAGTCAATGATGGTGATATTTGTTTTACATTCATTATCCATCATTTAACCTTGCTTAGTGTTTAACTTCCTTTCATTTCAAGGATAATAAAACTAAGACTGAGTGGTTAAGAAATTTGCTTCATATTCCTTCATTTGTTCCACTATTGGTCAACATTTATTGATTGCCAAGCAAATGTCAGATACCATGCTAGGCCCTAGGGACAGAAGCAGAAATAATCCCTGTCCTAGAGAAAAATATATCCAATGAGGACTAAAACAATTATAGACAATTATAGGAGAGGGTAGTAAATGTTAAAATCAATGTATGTGGAGAGTATTATAAGAGCACAGAGGAAGGAGAGATGAATGGGTTCTGGAGAAACTGAGTTTAGACTATTGTTCCAGGGAAGGAAACATTTGAGAGGCCTTGAGGGATGAGTAGGAGTTTACCTGGTATACAAGTGGGAGAAGGTGATGTACAAAAGGCATTATTACCTTCAAGGACATGGAGTTGAAAGGTGATGATGATGTGTTTGAAGAATAGTGAAAATCCTTTCGGGCAGAACTAGGTATCTGGGGATAGAGAAGGAGAGATGAGAAAGAAAGTTAGGGGAACTCAGATGGGAAGGGCTTTGGTGGTCCTGAGATGGAGTGGACAGGGTGGAAGTCAGGCATCCTGGGCCTTACCTTGGCCCTACTGCTGACTTGCTGGGACCCAGGCAGATTCCACTCATCTCCCAGCTTCTGTTTTCTCTAACATAATATCCCAAACATGTCTCCAGCTCTAATGTGAGTTCCTGGAAGATACTCCTCAGACCTGGCCCTTCTGTCCTGAGATACTACTTGCTCCTTCATTGTGTATTACACAAGCCAGCCCTGGGCCGAAAGCAAGAGGTAGGATGATTTCTCAACAGTGAGAAATAAGTCCAGAGCCCATAGGTTGGAGAGGGAAATCCGTGGCTCTGGGCAGAGAATTCTCCAGGATCTGGGAAGGGCGAGAGCTGAGCGATGCGAATACAATACCTCCTTGCTACTTGTTCCTGAAATGCACTGAGTACATTCCTGCTCCAGAGCCTTCGGGCTTAAGGTTCCCTCTGCTTGGGACACATCCCTCTGGCCACATAAACTGACTGTTGGTTTCTTTTCTTTTCTGTAAAGTCAGTGCCTGACTTAAGCTTGGATTACTGATGGGGCGCCTGGGTGGCTCAGTCGTTAAGCGTCTGCCTTTGGCTCAGGTCGTGATCCCAGGGTCCTGGGACCGAGCCCCGCGTCGGGTTCCCTGCTCTGCGGGAAGCCTGCTTCTCCCTCTCCCGCTCCCCCTACTTGTGTTCCCTCTCTCGCTGTGTCTGTCTCTGTCAGATAAATAAATAAAATCTTTAAAAAAAAAAAAAAAGCTTGGATTACTGAGGCATCCAATCCATAGCTATCTTTAATAAACCAAGAGCCACGCCACCTCCCCTCCCCTGAGGCTCCTTTGTTTTGGGGATCTTGGCTGATTTTGATAACTGATCATTTGGGCCACTTGTCTGTTCTCTTCCCTCACTTTATTTTTTTTAAAGATTTTATTTGTTTATTTATTTGAGAGAGAGAGCAAGACCAAGAGCACAAGCAGGGGGAGGAGCAGAGGGAGAGGGAGAAGCAGACTCCCCGCTGAGCAGGACTCCGGGATCATGACCTGAGCCAAAGGCAGACGCTTAACCGACCAAGCCACCCAGGTGCCCCTCTTCTTTCACTCTAAATTCTCACTCTATTTTTTTTTTTAAGATTTTATTTATTTATTTATTTATTTATTTAAGACAAAGTGAGAGAGAGAGAGAAGGAGCAGAGGGAGAAGGACAAGGAGACTCCGCACCGAGTGCGAGCCTGACACAGGGCTCCATCTCAGGATTGTGAGATGGTGACCGGAGCTGAAATCAAGAATCGAACACTCAGGGCGCCCGGGTGGCTCAGTCGGTTAAGCGTCTGCCTTCAGCTTGGATCATGATCCCAGGGTCCTGGGATGGAGCCCCCTGTCGGGCTCCCTGCTCAGCGGGGAGCCTGCTTCTCCCGCCTGCAGCTCCCCCTGCTTGTACTCACTCTCTCTCTGTCAAAAAAAAAAAAGAAGAGTCGGTTGCTCAACCAACTGATCCACCCAGGTGCCCCTAAATTCTTACTCTTAAGTTTTAAATTCACCGGATAAAGACTGAGCCCTCAAAATCCTAGGCCCCTCCCCTGGGTGGCTCAGTTGGTTAAGCGACTGCCTTCGGCTCAGGTCATGACCCTGGAGTCCTGGGATCGAGTCCCACATCGGGCTCCCTGCTCAGCGGGGAGCCTGCTTCTCCCTCTGACCCTCTCCCCTCTCATGCTGTTTCTCTCTCTCTCTCTCAAATAAATAAATAAATAAAATCTTTAAAAAAAATCCTAGGCCCCCACCGTGGACCCCAATAAAAGCAGAACCCCAGGCCCACATGCTCTCTCTACCGATGCCCTCACTGGGTGGCCCCAGGCCTGCTGTGTAATGTCCAGGTTCTGTAGGTAATAAACCTTTCCTTCAAAGTCTCCTGATGGTTACCGCTGAAGGGCATCTTAAAATAAGAACCACAAGAGCCAGTCCAACCTCATCATTGCTTATTGATAGGCTGAGGCCGGCCCAAAACAGTTGGTGTGGCTGGCAGGATAGCATGAAGCCTGTGCAGTTTCCTGAGGGGAATGCCCTTTTCCACCTGTAAGTTGCTGACTAACCACCTCCCTCAGATGGGTAACCCTGTCTGAGAAAGAAGGACCACTTGTGGGGTCTCTCATACTGCTCTGTGCTTTTGCATATCGCTCTGTGGTGTCCAGCCCAAAAGGCCACAGCTGCCATAATAATCCAATGATCTCCCCAGAGTGCCGTGATCAAGCCCATATGGTCTAATGAGATGATTAGACTACTAATTATA